CTGCTGCTGCTGCTGCTGTTGCTGCTGCTGCTGCTGCTGTTGCTGCTGCTGCTGCTGTTGCTGCTGCAGGTGGAGACGGCCTCGTCTTCGTGTTTAACCTGCCCTGGTCTGCAGAAGAGCTGCAGAAACACGCGAAGTGCGGCGTGGCTGCGCAGCAGCAGCTGCTGCGAACGCTGATACAGGGAGCAGCAGGAGAAAGCAACAACCCGGATGGCGCTGCTGCTGCTGCTGCTGCTGCTGCGGCCGCTGCGGCTGCGGCGCCTTCGGACAGTGCTACCATTGCGGCAGCAACTGGAGCAGCAACAGCACCAGCTGCTGCGCACTTTGCTGAGCCCGCATATGCTGCTGGCAGCAGCAGCAGCAGCAGCAGCAGCAGACTATCGACTATCACGGGCGCTGCCACTGTAGGTTCTGTCTCTGGTTGTTTTCCTGCTTGCTAGTACTGCTGGTGCTGGTGCTGCTGCTTCTGCTGCAGCCGCTGCTGCTTTCAGACATGAAGAAGCGCTCTTTCCCGTGTTGCTGTAGCTGCTGCTGCTGTTGCTGCTGCTGCTGCATTCAGTCTGCCCTGGCCTCGCTGACGTCTCTGCTGCTGCCCGCGTCCGTCAGTGAGCGGCTGCTGTATGCACGTGGCTGTGACTGCTGCATCTCTCTTCCCTCTACAGCTAAGGGCTGGTAAGCTTACCTTCTGCAGCAGCAGCAGCGGTAGCAACTACAGCAGCAGAAGCAGCAGCAGCTGCTGCTGCTGCTGCTGTTGCATTGGATGCGCAGGTCTGTTGCCTGCTGCAGCTGTTGCGCGTTTGAATCTCCTTGCTGCTCCTGGTTTGTGTGTGGGGCGGTGAATTGAGCTTTCTTTGTTCTTCATGCATATTGCTGCTGCTGCTGCTGCTGCTGCTGCTGCTCCTGTTTCCTGCTGCTGCTCCGTTTGCCTGCTGCTGTTGCTTCGTTTGCTGTCTGTGGCTTCGGCGGTGTCTCGGCAGCTGCTGTCTCTTTTTTGTCTGTCTTTTGCTGTTTCTGTGTTTTTTTTTGTTTTCTCTGTTCCCCTTTTATTCTGCTTTGGGTTTTGTTTGTTACTATATCAACCATTCTGTTTGTTTGTCTCTCTTTTCTCTTTCTGTATTATCGTTTCCCTGTTTGTCTCTGCTTTTTTTTGTTTGTTTATTTGTTTTTTTTTGGTTTTTTTCTTGTCTCCCTCTCCTTTGTATCTTCCCTCCACTCGGCCTGAGCTGCAGGTGGGTGGGTCCCCAGCTGCTACCTAAACTGCTGCTGCTA